GTCACCTCCACGAGGTGTAGATGTCACAAGCGAAGGGGCCACAGCCAAAACGTAAAGCTTACGCAGGGAAGGAAGGTCCCGGCGGTTGACGGGGGACCATTCTGGTGTAGTAAAATGTAACAATACCTGTTGCTTTTTGGTCTCCTCATCCAGAGCTTCGTCAGCATTTATCGTTTCTATAATCGACTCCATCTTCACTTGACGCTCAATTAGCAGGCGATTTTCCTTCGTCTCATACGCTCGACGTAAGATTATATTGCGCAACATCTGGAAATATTTGCCGGAAGTTCAGCTACCACATCATTGTGAATGATAAGCGAGAGGCAAGCACTGTCTTCTCTACGTATATATCTCTTAGGCATAGCTGGCGGAGCAGACTCATCCACATGCGCGTAGTTACAAAACGTTTTATGAATCACAGCAGGCATTGCCACTGGCTCACGCAATGGAATTACACCCAACTTTCACCATTTTGCCCGCCTTGGCTACCATTTCGTCAAAACTACACTCATGATTATTACAATAAAGCTATTACGTTCCAATATGAAAACATGCTGAATGAAACTAATCCGTTTTTATTATTATCGTGATTAGGATGTTTAGCCGAAATTCAGTATTATTCTTATAATTCTTACAAAACAGCAACAGTTGGTTCTAAGAGGGAAACGCAAAAGTCCGTAGAGCCTTGCAGATGATTGCCTTCGAGAACTTAGCGCCAGTGGCGATAGCCGAGAGCAGAATCGTGATAACTCGAATAACAATGAAAGAGAAATGTACGTCAGGCCCCTTCACAATCTCCCCGCCTGCCGGCATATAACGCAATTAAGTACACTCTAATAACTTTAAACTTTTCTAAATTACGCTCAGCTGAATTGGGGATGTATAAAGCAGAACAATAATAGCGCTCAAATGCGGATGCTGATTATTATTCAAGAAAACTAATGTCAAAAGTGTGAAATAACCCTCACATACCTTGCAAGTATACTCAACAAGGCCTCGCACAGTCTGTGGCAAATCCACATAATATAGTACAAAAGTTCGAGCCGGTGCGAAATCGTTGGTACGACCAATTGGCTGAAAATTGATATTAAAAGGTGGCCAAAAAATGTTGAAGTAAATAATAGTGGAAGAAGGTGTGAGTGACATGAGATGACAATGATGTAGGGATAGAAGATAGATTCACCCTGTAGCCATGAAAAGGGGTTCGAGAAGCGGAGAGTTTGAAATTAACTGAAAACATAGGCTACCCATGTGAAGAAGAAGAAACTAAATATACCTTTGTTTGAATGTATCCCTCCTCGAGCATTGCATACAGAAGCTCACGGGTTTCTTTCCCGCTCATCATCGTCAGCTTCTCAATCTGATCCTCCTCAAAGATGGCCCTTTTGCTGGAGAGACAGGAAATGCTGAAAGGGAATCTTCGAATAGTGCTAGAGATCGATAGGGGAGAAGCGTTCTATTAAAAGGGTGCTCGGACCCTAATTCAAACCGCCGTTGCCGGTCCCAAGCCCGGATGAGAAAGGAGGAGGGTTGGTGCGAAGGGCTAGCAACCCTTCCGCCGTAAAAAATTCTTGTTGCTACAGAAACGACGAATATATGTGACATTGCTGAATTGAGGAGATTGGGCTCAGCCTTGTGACGGATGCCCCGATTCTGGGTTCGGTCTTCTCACCAAAAAACAAGACATACATTGGCAACATGGAACGTACGGACATTGAACAGAACAGGCAATCTTGCACAACTGCTTCGTGAATTTGACAGATATCGCCTTGATATACTGGGAATAAGTGAAATCCGTTGGAGAGGCAATGGTAGAGTGAACAGTGACAACAAAACAATCCTTTACTCTGGCCATGAAGGAAAGCACGAAGCAGGAGTTGGTTTTGTTCTAAACAAAAAGGCGACCAGGGCTCTAGACGGATGGAAACCGGTGAATGAAAAGAATAATTACAGCTCGTTTTGTAACCAGACATACCCGAATTACGGTCATACAAGTATACGCGCCCACGGATGTTGCGGATGACGAAACAAAAAATGAATTCTACGAAAAACTCCAAGAAACTGTCGATGAGTCACCACGAAGAGATTTCAAAATAATACTTGGAGATTTTAATGCTCAACTCGGTAATGACAGAAGCACATTCGAGAAGATCATTGGACCGTTCACATCTGCTGACCGTTTCAGCGACAATGGCGAAAGATTAACGTCTTTTTGTGATTACAATGACTTCTGCATAGGAAATACATACTTTCAACATAAAAGAATACACAAAAAGACATGGAGATCACCTGATGGAACCACATTCAATGAAATCGACCACATTTGTATTAACCGCAGATGGAGAAAGTTCTCTTCAAGACGCTCGCATATTCAGGGGAGCGGATATCGGTTCAGACCATTATTTGATGAAGGCCACAATCAAGTTGAAACTGAAGCAAAGGAAAAAATGGACATCACTCGAGCATTCGCTGTAGAAAGGTTGAAGGACCCAACCATTGCTAACAGGTTCAGACTGGAACTGCACAATCGCTTTGAACTTTTAGGAAACGTAAGGAACATTGAAGACGAATGGAGGGCAATAAAGGAAAATATTCAAACAAGTGCAGAGCAAGTGGTTGGCCGCAAGCGTGGCAAAAGGAAAGAGCAATGGATTCAAGCCAGAACGTGGGAGAAGATAGACGAACGGAGAGCGATAAAACTTCAAAGAGATCAAGCCAAAACGCACGAAGAGAGAGAAGAAGCAAGCCGGAAGTATACGGAAATTGACCGTTTCGTGAAAAAGTCCTGTCGTCGGGATAAAAAGGAATGGCTTTCGCGAAAAGGAACTGAAGCTCAACAAGCAGCAGATCGTGGCGATTCGAAAACTCTCTACCGCATTGTAAATGAATTGACAGGCAGCTCAAACCTAACGAATGTCCCTGTCCGAGACAAAAATGGGCGGCTCTTGCTAAGTGATGAAGAACAGAACGAAAGATGGATAGAACATTTTTGCGAAGTGCTCAATCAACCTGACCCAACGAAGACTTATTGCTTCGACGAGATGGATACAGCAGAAGAACTTGATGTGAACACACAGGAAGATATTACTGTTGAAGAGACCGATCAAGCAATTAAATGCCTTCGTAACAACAAAGCCCCAGGACTTGATGGAATTCAAGCAGAGTTAGTGAAAGAAGGCGGCAGACTTTTGACGGAAGCACTGTCTAACCTATTCAATCGATGTTGGAATCAAGAAGAAGTTCCAGAAGATTGGAGAAAAGGAGTCATCGTTAGACTACCCAAAAAAGGAAATTTGACAGAATGCGGGAATTGGAGAGGAATAACCTTACTTTCGGTACCGGGTAAAGCATTCTGTTTAATATTGCTACGAAGAATTCAAAGCGCCATAGACAGACGCCTACGAGAGGAGCAAGCGGGGTTCAGAAGTGGTAGATCTTGTTGTGAACAAATCTTCATTCTCCGCAATATTATCGAGCAATGCATGGAATATCGGCATCCTCTATTCATCAACTTCATTGATTTCAAAAAGGCGTTCGATAGTATTCACCGCGACTCGTTATGGGCAATTCTTAAGATATACGGCATACCGCAACGTTTTATCACCATCTTCAAGAGCTTGTACATGAACTCATCGTGCTGCGTAAGGACAAATGATGGGCATACTCGCTTTTTCGAAATCACCACTGGAGTACGACAAGGATGTATTCTATCGCCATTCCTGTTCAACATCTGTCTAGACTTTGTTATGCGAAAGGTGGCGTAATAACAACATATCTGGGAAGTACAGTTGTTTACGACGGAGAGACGCGGAAACAGATGCGCGTACTCGGATTGCGAAGGCAGCATCTGTTTTTCAACGACTGCAGTCAGTATGGACAATGACCTCTATCTCACAATACATTAAGATGCGGCTGTACCAATCCATTGTGATTTCCACGGCGCTGTATGCAAGCGAAACATGGAAAATCACTGCTGGACTCGTCAGAAAAATAAATGCCTTCCATCAACGTTGTCTTCGCCGAATCATGAAAATACGGTATACAGATCACATCACTAATCAGGAAGTCCTACGCCGCACAGGTATGAGCAGCCTCCACGTGATTGTGGCACGGCGCAGACTCCGACTGGCTGGACATATCCTACGTATGCCACAACATCGCATTCCACGAAGGGCCATGTACTGGGTCCCTCCAGGAGCCAAGAGAGCAAGGGGCCGTCCCAGAAACACGTGGAGACGAACATTCGATAATGACCTAAAGACCATGGATGTTTCTAGGGATGAATGTGAAACACTTGCGCAAAATCGTCAGCAGTGGAAAGAATTCGTCGCCCGATGTGCTCAACAGCACGGGAGGAACTAAGTCTAAGTAAGATCCAAACTCGAGCGTGTCTCAACCTTCACTTATCATCAGCCCAATAATACGCGCAGACCACAAGCTAGGCATTATAATGAAGGGAGTTAATTGCCAATACAGGTTCGGCATTGAGTGAAATAAATCAGCAGCGGACAAATCACATTATTGCCCAGCATTTTACCACTTTTAAGGAAATGGGGGGGGTAGTGTGAGTGGCCTATTCACACTGACCATCCGAGACAAATTTCTCGCAATCAGAACCCTCTCCCGGGCCATTTAACAAGGCCTTCCCAGGACAAATTATTGCACCCCAAAAAAGGATTGATCAAAGCTGAATGTCCAAGTTCAACTTTCTACAAATCTTGGCGTGAGGTCTTCAGAATATGAGAACGTAGTTGCTAAACTTCCAAACAAAATTGACCGTAACCTTTATTAGCCGACGTTTAGATGTTTTTACCTTCTTCAGGGCGCTGGAAAGACAAAAGCATTTAGGAAGTGAGCGCATCCAACACTATGTGTGCAATTGTACCAGAATCATTCTCAGAGACAAACTAATAAAAGTGAGGTCATTGAAAAACATCGTGAACGAACTTTAAATGCTAGACAGAGAGGTTTCACTGCACTTGGAACGGTGAGCAGTACTCGTAAATATAGGCTCAGGTCAAATAATTGCTTTCTCTGTGCATGTAGTCAGCTGTTTGCTCGAACACTAGCGTGCGCGTCATACGTAATCGGCGGAGTGTGCGGTGGTTAAGAGTCAGGCGAGTCAAGTCTTCGAATTTAGCTCCGTCACTTCGATCACGCCCGTGCTGGTCTTCGCATTTGCTTAGCCGAGATGCCACCTTCGCAGCCCTCGCACGTGAACAGTTGCCGACTTTTGCGGGTGTGTGTGTGGGGGCGGAGGGGATAGATAGGGGTTTATTTCGCGATTTTTATAGTGAAATTTCGCAGAATCAAGAATTATGTAGCTTGCTCAATAGTTTTAGACAGCTAATCGTGCTCAGACCCAATGTTGGACGCTCTCGGGATTGGATCATTCGTGTCGGTGAACATCTGTAGTCTCAAACTACCCAGTAATTCACCCAGCTCCGGTCGTTCCTGAGGCGATTTAGATAACTGGATTTGACACATATGCATTGGGTCAAGGACAGCGCCTTCACGCAAAAGTCTACGATTTCCACAGAATTTTAAGCGAAGAACACCAAGAAGAGTTTATATTCACGAAAGTTACCCTCTTCATCCTTTTTTGCTCCTTGGCTCACTTACCGCACTGCTCTTGTCTCCAGCTGTTCCCTAATCAGCGATTTCGATGTGATATTGACAAATTTGCTGAGTAGCACGTTCAAAATCTAAAAAAAAAAAACTTCTGAAAGCAGTTTTACAATATTGGGAGGAATTCTGTAGAAAGATGGGAGAAACGCTGAACTCCTTATCTAGCAGAAGAAAAGCTTTGATTATGGTCCACATACCGACTATATACAGTCCTCCACCACTGTCTCCTGACTTTCTAACTACACCATGTGAATCATCGACAAGGATTCGTAACGACTTCTCAAGATCCGGTCGTTCCACTCCAAGATCGTTTTCCTTCACACACCGCATCATATCAAAAAGCTGTAAGCCGAACAATGATGTGCAACAGACAACGATGAAGAAAAATATTTTGAACACGATTTCTCGATCGTACCCTCCACTGCACCAATTCCAATACCAATTACCTCTACCGCTACCCATTCTTTCCCTACAATGTCTACTTTTAAGTACCTTCAACAGAACTTCGCGTTCCAAATCAGAAAGAGAAGTGGCTTTTGTTAGCGAGAAACGACACATGTTCACCCACATAACAATTAGACCAGTGATGACTCGTGAGCTTGATTGTGAGAAAACAAAAGTGCGAAGTTCGATCCTGTTCCTTAAGAAGGCACACCCTACGATGAATTCAAGTGGATAAATCGTGTCAGTGCACGGGACGACTTTCCAGCAGCGTTCCACGGATTGTCTCCTTCTAACCGGCTTCCGAGTGTCCTCCCAAATACTCGCCGAACTTTCCAAACTGCTACGAACCGCTTCCATTTCTCCTCATTCCCAGTGTGCGTGGGGCTTCTCCGTGCTCACTGACTCATTGCTTTAACAGCTGAATTAACACGAATTACAAAACGAGTAAGCCCTCAGCTATTCCGGATTTTTTTCATTTTTCCTTCACCACCGTACCCTGTCCTCGTTTTCGTGGGCAAAAATTCACACTCATTTGATGAGATGTGCGTCAATAGAGTTTACGATCGTTATGTTTTAGCACAGCTAAGGCTTTTGGCATTTGAGGTTTTGGCACAGTGTAGGACATTTGAAATCGAGCCGAAAATCAATAGTAAAGCATAGAAGAACCGATATCGGCGTTGAATTATGTCGCAACCGGTGATACCTCGAACTTCATTGGCTTTCAGAAGCGATCGAACCGTCTGCGATAAACAATGAGCGGTATATTCTCCTGCTGAGCCCTGACACATAAACAAAACTTCATTTAGTGGAAATTGTGGGATTCAATGAAATTTCAGAATCAGATTGATATTACGCATCAGCGAAAGCCTTACCTTTGGTACTCCACAATTCGAGGGTCATTTCCTCACGAAATGTAACGCTCAAAACGGGTGCAGTTGATTCGCCAATAAATACCCACATCACCCTCAGGTTGCTGCGCTTTGCGCTTTCTTGATTCGTCTGTGGGTTCTGTGCACGTAACATTCAAACAGACTCATTCAATTATGGAAGAAAACCCTGAAGTCGAAAAACTCACCTGAATTGCCTTGCAGAATAACCTCCGGCATAATAAATGGATCAAAGGCGCTTTCGAATTGTGGGCACCCTTTCAACGACGAAACCACCAGCGGACATCTTGTGACAAACTGAGCCTCACTCAGTCGACAGAACTTCTCCTTCACCTGAATCAAAAATTTGCACTCCAAAAAAGCTCACGAAATTTACGAGAGAAGGTAACATCACACGGTTTTCTGAAGGTGCCTATTCTGTAACGAAGAAATGAAGTATGAAAAAGCATAAAGCGTTCGGCATTGATCAATCCCGTTTTGGAGTGCGCCACGCATTCTACCTCCATTCAGAATCGTAAAGTCAGTTTGAATGCGACTTGGCCTATGGCCTTTGGATGGGAGTCTTGGTTGGCCCCGACGACGCACAATACAGGATTTTGATCCCTGGAACGCGCGCGTCATAAAAGCACCACCTGCCCCTACATCACTTCCGCCTTTAAAAGGATTGCAAGATTACAATTGATGTCTCCGATAGTATTACTGGAAGGAAACACCAACTCGTTTACGAAAAGGGAAAGAGGGTTCAACTTAAGTGTGACTAGGCCGATGTGAAGTAGCCTGTAAGTACCAGAGTTCTCGAGCAGTGCGCTGGAAGACTCGAAAAGTTGCAATAATGGAAGGCGCAATAGGAGTGGCGAGGAAAGGTGGAAAGTATCGTCAGAAGGATTGCGAGAGAACCGAAGAACCGCTTGATTTCAGTCATTCTGCAATCACTGCTTGAAAAACAGTTCGGCAACCCAGGACTAATCGCGGAGCCGGTCTGACGAGCAACTCTATAGTTTGCGGCAAGAAAAGCGTCCATTCTTCTTTCCTTTCAATTACTCTGACACACTACAAGCCCCGCTTTTTGAATATCGTAGCACATCCTCAACCGTTTGACGTTACTTTGTGTTACACGTGCGTAGTGATTGGGAAAGAAGATTTATTTCGTGTGCACGTCCACCATAGTTTTTACGCCCTTTCTGATTTCATTGACACAAATGCTTTGTACTTCTCCTCATTTCAATAATTTGGTAGGTGGACGAAAGGTAAGATGGGTATCATACATGAATTGCGCTGTCGGGATAGCTGAACTAAGGAACATGAAATTTTTGAGTTATACCAAGCCCAAGTTTACCAAATCACTCCGATTGGATAGGCAACGCATTTCAGCGGAAGATCGTCACTGTTGAGAAAACTTACATCAGCCAAAGGTTGCTCTAAACGAGCTGACACTTTACGAATTGTGTCTGAACAAGTGAGTCGACCATAACTGAACAGTTCTTCACATATAGCCTCGGCTAGTCCCCCGTATAGCGTTTTCACTATGAGACAAGCACCTAAACACATTCGATTCTATTGATCTTTCGTTCAACAAACAGAAGAGATGTGATTACCTTGGAGCTTTAGAGAAAGCCAGTATCGCTTTTCTATCAACAGTATAGATCAATCTTCCCGACAAATCCGCTTTGAAATTGACAACAGAGTGTTGAATGAGTATTGCCAGAGACTTTCTCACCTGCAAACAATAACAATAAAACAACATGCATTGATACAGGAAAATAAAACAGATCAAACATGAAAAATTGGTAGGGACCAACCACTGAAAAAATAACCGTGAAAAGCGGTCATTGAAGCTGCAACTGTATAGGTATCTGGCAGTTTAGACATGCAAAAGCAGTACAAAGACAAAAGTCGACAACCAGGTATTAACTTTTGAGTGAGGTTTTCTCAGTGTAGCAGAAATTGGCCCGTTCAACAACAGCTTCCAATATTGAGTTGATGTGATATGAATGGATGGAACGTGAACCAGTGCGCACTCTAACGTCCTCCCCCCCCCATTCCCGCCCTCATAAAGGATTCAGTTGTTCTGAACGAGTTAAAACCTGTAGAAGTACCAATGTCCGATTTAAAGGAAAGAATGAGATTGGATTGAGGGGTAATTCCAGCACGAATGTGACTGGGATGGGAGGTCAGATCTCGCTAGTGGAGAAAAGGGGTAAAAAGTCTGACATACTTAACGTGCGAGCATTTTCTAAATCTGTGGAGTAAGTCACAGGTACACCCGTGGCGAGAGATGATAGGACAATGTGAGCGCGGTCGCTGTAGATAGTCCGAGAAGTGAAGAGCAGAGCGAATCAACCGTGTCGACCCGCAGACAAAGATAATCCGTGGGGGACATGCCAAGTTTGTGAGCTGCTCAAAGCTCCGATAGCGCCCTAAGTCCATGAGGCTTTCCAATGTAGAAAGGTGGCGCTACCTTTGCACTTGCGCACCCAGCACTTCTTGCCATGGCAACGGATTTTTAGGTGGTCCGAGCCCAAAGTATACCTTTAAAGATCAGCGACGGGGTGTCAACATAAGAAGTAACTTCAACGATTCTCTTTCACACTTGACCTTCGGCATCTCCGCCGCCACCCGATCTTCTGAACCATCTCGGCCTCCACTCAAACCCGAATAGCAGCGGCGATGCGACTTATGAAGAAAACATTTGCCTACACGGCGCTTGAACCAGGACGCAGTCAGGATTAGTCATAGGTGAGTTTTTTTGGCTTCATTGGCTCTGAAGCCAATAAATACTCGTCCAGGGATGTATAATAGAGGCGGAGATGATTCGATGGTGTGGCAACCAAACCACAAATATACCTTGCTCCCTTCATAGTTGAATCTCTATCCAAACAAAAAATAAAGAAGTAAAAACAAAAGTATTGGGGCAAGAACATTACCGTGTTAAATTTCACTTGACCCTTGAGACGATAAATAATGGAGGGAAGTGGTCCAGGCTCCGTAAGTAGAGTGGACGCAACAAGAGCCACTGTTTTGCCAAAGTGCTCCTCGATGAGTACTTGACAAAGCTCGGCCTCAAAATGGCCTGCCATGCTGGGTTGGCTGGAAAGGTTCCGTAATGAATCACAGCTCAAAAGTTGGAACTGTCCACGATAAGGACATCGGCCTCCTACGGACCTGAACTTTTGGAACAAACTGTCCAGTATGGGTGAAGCTTTGACACTTTGTAGGAATGCAACAGAAAAAGCATTCACAGACATTTATCTGACCAAATATTATAGTATTCATAGCAAGTAGGAAATAAACAATTTAACAAATTCAACAACAACCAAACAAATCAACAACGTGGTTCAGCCATAAACTCTCACTATCATGTCCTTCTCTTGATAGCCTTATTCTGAAAGCAACATCATAGATAAATCTGACAGGAAATAGAGGTAAGTGGTCTCACCTTCGATTTCAACTTCGATTTTTGGCTCTTCTTTCTCTCGAATCGTGACTTTTTACCTTTAGGTCCACCAGCATGTCCTCCCTTCCTGAAAACACACTTGTAGGAGCACGGTAAACTTCCCACGGACAACGAAATTGTTGAATATTATTGGAGTATCTAAACATTAAACAAATTACCCTCCGAAGCAGGGTAACCCGCGTGGGAAAATTTTACCAAATTCGCTCCTCTTTCCCTCTTTCTATGAGTACAATTCTCTTTCCCCGAAACCCCTATAGGACCCCTTCCGTACCAACTATCACCACTTTCGCCGGCTTGTTAGTACGGGGAGGAGGCAGCCAGAAGCAATTCCTGCACTATATTTCCACACTTTAAAGCTTGAAAGGATAAAGCATTTGCTGCTGATCAATCGTTTTTTGGGAAATCGCAACGCACGCATTCTACTTCCATTTGTACATTCGTAGTGGCGTGCCTACAATGACTTGCGGGGGCCAGCCGATGTACAAGTCAGTGTTTTTATCCTCCCAGACAAGTCTGGTACCAATTAACCGACCCCGGAGGGATGGAAGGCTTGGTTGGCCCGGGCGACTCACGACCCAGGATTTGATCCCCGGACCGCTCGCGTGGTAAGCGTGCCACTTGCCACTACACCACTTCCGCCCTCTTTACTACTATCGCTCACTTCCACATTTTACTCCTCCTAATTTTCTCTAAAAATATATTATCTAAGAGATCCCCCACCCCAAATTTCGTACTCGATCTCTCTTGCCTCCACCAAAGAAAAGACGACCTCCTTTCGAGGGATCCTCCAAAAGAGCTCACCCTTCTCGAAAGCATTTGTCTTGTACCGGCAGTTCTTGCTAGATCATTGTCTCCAAAAACCAAGTACAGTATGATTTGCTACGACAATGTAAACATGTTTTCGATGATCTTTCCGAGGAGCAGTAAAAAAGTTTGAGATTGGAAGACATAAGATTTTCCATAGAAACTAAGTGGAAGCAAAATTATATCACCAACACACTGAAAATTAGAGTCTGACCTTTTTTTATTGGTGGAGAGGGCCTCTCCAGATTCATCACGCATCATGTAGTTGCCGAAATTGAACAAGTCGTCCATGGCATTGTCGCGATTTAAGCGTTGCTCTCGTTTCTTTTCGGCCTTGCTCATCCGCAAACGAACAAAGTGATCCTCCTCATATCTGAAGAGAACCGAAGCGTTACGATGATTCAAAAATAAGCATATAACAAGCACACTTACTTCTCCCTCTCCCTGTCGGCATCGAACCTTCGCTGACTCTTTTCCTTAAAAGGTTTGTATACATATAAGTTATATTTATGAAACATCAAGAAATTATTTTGTCTGGATTTAGTCCAAGAAGCGTAACATGAACCTAGGTAGGTGTAGCAAAAGAACGAAAGAAAATATCACACTAAATTCATGTATAGAAGGCCCACCCTGAACTCCTCTGGAGCATCGCTGTATTGTTGTCTAAGTTCCTGAACGAGACTGCTTTGAAGCGCACGCCTCTTCGCTTTTTCCATAGCCTTCGTTTCATGCCCATCTTCATCCTCTGCAAAGTTGAAGAAATAAATTACAGAGCGGAAAGTTGAATTGTGATGACTATGAGGCGGAGACGGTATGGGGACATAAGACATCACTGGAGGGAGGGATGTTAAGAGATGTCCTAACCATAGGTCTAGCGCGTTCGGGTTATAGACGTATACTGTAAGAGCACTTCATGAATTACGGAAGCCCAAAAAGTTTTTACAATTTTGACGATGAACAAAAGACAGAGGAGAGATGTTAAAGGACAATAAAGCATCAGAGACCATTGAAGTTGGAACCACCCACCTTCATAACGAACCGCCATCATCTTTGGTGGAACATATTTTTTCGGCTTCTTGTTGTCCTCCTCATTACCTTGATCTTCATCTGATTCGTCATTATCATCATCAAACTGAATAAATTTTCTTCCTATTTTAGTACGCTCTAGATTTCAGACTCAATAGACAGTCTACATAAAGTGATAAGCACTAGTAGTTTAACAGATCAAATCGAAAACAGGCTTATCGTTAACTGGTAAGGTTACCTCCATTTGGTCCGGTCTAGCACGCAAAGGAGCTTTCGCTTCACCATTATCGAGGCTCTGTAACTTTAACTTTAAAGAATTACTTCAATTACATATATATGATACACATACGGCAAAATGATGTACCTGAACAAGCTTATCTATCTGAGATCTCATTTTCTGCTCTATCGGACGTATTCGTTCAAGAATCTGAACAAAATGGTCAGCTAGTTCGAAATAGGTATGATAAAGACTGAATGGATCACGGAACTAGAAACATCATGCGAAAATTTCAAACCCACAAGGAAGA